GTATATGCAAGCTATTGCAGCTCCTAATTTACTTATGTTTCAAATTTTGTTAATAGTATCACCGCTTTGGTAGCACCACTGTTTAACTTCAGAGAATCTAATTCTTGCTGCTGTACTATTCCTATTAAAGAAAGAGAGAGCCAATTTGACCAGCAGTAAAGTCAACTACCAAAATCCAACATTAATTTTTTAACATAATTTGGTGTAGTTACAAAAGAAATTACACAAACTGTTCTCCAGTTCTTGAAAGAAGAGGAAGAAAGAAGAGATTGACAAGCACCTGTTTAAGAATATATGGCCAAAAATTAGGCCAGATCGTACTTTAGAGAGTTGCACGGCTCCTAGCATCTCAACTCGATCTTGAAGAGAATGTTTTTCCCTCATCTCTTCCAACCGCACACGTTTAGGTCCATCTCCTCCAACAATGAAACAAACCTTACCACATATTTCTGAATGAAATGATTGAGTGCTCATTAACTATGCCAATAATTACATCAATGATGCTATGCTTCAAACCACCCTCAACATTTTCGTTATAATAAAAGCATCCCCCTTAGGTTATGGCTTCATGCAACAAAATTATTTTACAGGAAATGCTGCCAAGTTATGCAAGCATAGAAATATTGATGTGCACACGGAAGTCCTTGTCAATATCAAAATTCATCAAACAGAAACGCATATTAGAAATGTAATATCTCATATAATGCTATGTCAAAATAACTCACATTAGGGTATAAACGGCATACTTCTGGAATGACTTCAACAGGAAGATCTGCACCCTTTTCGGTAAACCAATCTACTTATAACGACAATTACAATTTCATGACTACTCAGTCGTTCTGGTGCAGGCTTGAACATAGCTGTGTCAACAGCAATAGGTATTACAAAGACCTTTTTCTGGTGGCAAACCTGACCTTAGCACTGTGTTTTACTTGCTTGTATGAGAAACACAAATGGCCTGACTTACTTCTGCCAAAGTAAACTGCAATACCTTGTTCATGTGTATGCTTCCCACATCAGCAAAACCATAGAGTGAATGATCAGTAAATACGACTTTGTACCCCATTGTGCGTGAGTGCATCAAAGCCACATGGCAAAGAGTTGAGAAAGCTTGATGTCCGTGTACCAGTGATATTTTTTGTCGAATACGATAGTCCTCACTATTGGAAGTGTCCCATAAAAGGTGGGAAATGTATTCTGCATGAGAAATGGTTTCCATGGTACATAATACACTTTCAGACCACCTGTCATATATCTCACCCTAGAACGATTATTGTAGGCATGAGTCATTACGACCACCTGAACACTCAAGCAATGAAAGTTCACCTAGTCAACAACTAATTAAACAAAGGAAGCTGACTTGTGTCATGAAAGAATTTCATTGATTTATAACTCAAAAGTTCACTTGGCAGCTAAACTGTTCCAATCACATTACAAAATAACGCGTGAGTATCTACTAAATTATTGGGCACAACCCGCCTCCATGTTATTGATCATTACTCTAAAAAAATGGAGGTCCATCTAATGCTCCCGTAACCACGATGGGAGCTGCAACATTATGTAATGGAAATGCAACATGAAAGCACTGTGAAGTAATAAATCAGCAGTTGAAATTCGAACTTCCACTTTTCTGCTAAATAACTAAAGATACAAAAACACACATGCAGAACCCAGAAAGTGAAGGAGAATGTGCATACTGACTTTGTGACCAAGCTTGAGAAGGCATTGTGTGAGATAATAGCTGTGATTCTCCACCCCACCAAAATTGGGATAGAAAAAATCAGAGACCATCAAAATTCTATGCCTTTTCCACTCGCTCATTTCTTCAATTCAATTTCCTGCAATTAATTGAACCAAAGAAATTCAATCTTTATGAGAAAATAAATAAATTAATAAGCACTACCGCTTGTTGTAAACAACTGACTTTTGTTATGATCCGAACCCAGATGAAATAATGGCAAACTACGTTGCAATAAAATCGAGAGTTCAATTATGTAAAAATCTGAGCTTTGATTTGGGGATTCGATTAGATTTTGTTGTAGCTAATGAGCTTAAAATTTGAAATGGGATTTGTGAGAGAGAACGAGAGAGCCAAATTACTTGAAATTACAGGGCAGCTGGAAAAGGAAGCTGAAGGCTTTGGTGAATTTGATAAATCGCTTATCAAATTTGCAATCCCTAATTTGAGAAATTGGCATTGGGGGCGGAGAGAGAGAAACAGAGCGCGCGCATGCGCAAATGGAAGTTCAATTTCTGGTTAAACGGCTTTTTTTTTTTTCTTTTTTTTTTTTGTTATGACATATTTTACTACAAAAACAACAGCAGCCAACCTATGACGTATTTTACAACAAAAACAACAACAGCCAAACTTTATTACACTAATTATGTTCGATATGAATTCTTGAATATCACTGCATTTTAAAATGTAAAATAATTTCTTATCATGTTGAATCCTTATAAAAAGATAAAAAAAAATAAAAACCGACCTCAATCCAATATCTTAAATTTTCTAAGATATTCTTTAGTGAAAAAAATTTTATGATAATTTTTATTTTTGGGATGTAAAGTGACTTTAATCTTTTTCTCTCTCTCAACAGATGTTTATAGCTGTCAACTTGTATATTTTTTTATTCATATAAAATTCTCAATGTTTTGCCATATAACGTAGTACTGGGAATTATGTGATGAAGCGAAACTTTACAGTTGGCAGAGCAGGTTTATCCACTTGTGCATCTGAGAATTATTTACTTTTAATTTCTTTGAAATGAGTTTATATCTGAATAGCTACTTTATATAATTTAGAACATTTATTTTTTGTATTTGTGTGTTAATGTTCGGTTTTCCTTCTCGCAATATCACAATTTTTATTTTGGTGGGGGGCAATTAGTTGAGTAGGACTCACATAATCATAAGAATATTAATTTTTTTCATCAAAAATTGGTCTGCATGAGGAGAGATGTTTTAGTGTGACAGAAACAAGATTAGATCAACCAAGTGTTACAATATAAATAGTTGAAAATTTGAAAAAAATAAATTGTATCTTAACTCTTAATGCATCAGCTAGTGTTTTCGGCACACTAAAATATTCTCCCCGGTGGGAATTGTATGTTGAGCTGTAGAATGGTAGGTTCCATGTCCTTAAATTAGATGTTTGCCTTTTGAATAAAATAATAAAATTCTGACTGTAGGTTGTTATTTGGTGGTAATATGGAAGTACATTTGCATACAACAGTTTTTCATGGTGGTTCCATACTCTACTTTGTACAAAATTCTGTTTAAATCATCAACATTTCTTCTTTTTTTGAAACTTTTACATCATCCACTTAAGCATAAACATCTTTAATTAGTTGATCAGTTGTAAACCCGCAACAGCATTGTTCATAATCTCTCGACCTAATTTTTTTTTTTTTTTTCTTTTGTCAAATCTTAGCCTAGCTATTAGGCCCGAAAATCTTATATTGTAAAAGAATGAGACGACAATATACATCAAGCTAACACTTCTCCTCATGTCTAACTCCATTATGCATTTGGAAATCAAAACTTACATACACAACGGAACAAGTACAACCCCACCCTTCGTACAATAACTGAAACTATGTGGGGCACGGGAGTCGGAGGTTTCTAAACCTTACTAGAGCTCTAATACCTTGTTATATATAAACAACTGCTAAAATATGCTCATCCCTCCAACGTAGTACACAAAAATACTACAGTGGCCCAATAAGCAGATGTTAAATTATATATAGTACCACAAAAAAATGCAGATAGAGACTGAGAGCTGATAGGCAGTTGGAAGAAGGGAAAGTAAGTATTTGGCAGCAAAGAATGAGATTGGAAAGTTTGGTCTGTCTAACAAACACTATGACCTTTTTTTTGGGTTAGAACGTTTGGTTGGGTTTTCCAATTTTATCAGAAAGATTCTCAGCCGGTTATTTTCTTATAAACAATACAAATCTACCGGTCAAATCCCAGATAAAACCTTCCAGCTATAAGCCTTAGGATGATCCTTCAATCACATCTGTTCATCGTATATCGTATGGTCGGAAATCATTGTAAATTTTTTTTATTTAAAATTAAATATAAATAATACTGATAAAAATTGACCGCACGATATACAATAAACGGATATAATTGGAGAATTCTTAAGATCTTCACAAAGAAGATCCGGTAAGGATCCTCTCTCATAAGCCCCCATTGCACTGCCTCTAGGGAGGAAAAGGGATCATCTCTATATTCCTTCCTCCTAATCCACTAAATTCAAGGATTTAGGCCATTGAAATTTGATTCAACGGCTAAAATTATTATAACTTTTAAAATGAGTCCCTATTTATAATCGTTGGATCAAATTTCAACGATCCAGATCCCCGAACTTGGTGAATTAGAAAGAAGGTATATTGAGATGATCCCTTTCCTCCAGGGAGCTGCAGCTTTTGGCCACCAAGCACCTGACTGACACGTGTACTTTCCTATAAAAAACTGGGTGCAAGAGCTTTCTACAACACGAAGTTTCTTTCACACAACTTTTTCCAGTTTCAACCCTTACTTTAAGTTACTGAGATTTCCATGACCCCGTTTGATCATTGCGCCAGTCTCATCGAGCAGTAATGCATTTGGCGAAAAGGACTCGAACGGCGGAGATGTACAGTTTTTCGCGGATGAATATGATTCAGTAAGTCCTGAAAAACTTTTGCTTCTTGTTTTCTGTTTTAATGGTGCTTTGCTTTCATCATTTTGTGATGATACTTGCCTTCTTCATGTTTGTGGATGTTAAGCGCTTTTTGGAGAAGTAGGTTGGTTTATGCATGTACATGGTAGCTTTTATTCTTATCATCTTAGTTAATGAGCCTGCCCAAAAACGTTAATATCATGATTAAGTTAAATGGGGCTCATAGCAAATGCCTGTTTATATATGTTTTCTCTCTTTTCTCTGTTTTTCAGGTTTATATGTTTTTTTAGCGACGACAAAACTCTCACGACGCACTCCGTCTGTCTGTGTATGTTCCTTCTTCTTTCTTTTTTCACATTTTTGTGATTATTTTTATTTTTGAGATGTTTTCTTCAATTATCATGTTGAGAAAATATTATGGCATGAAAAGGTGCAGCATTGTGCCCATCGGAGGCCATTTGAAATTATGAGAAAATACCCCCACCAGAAGACAAATTCTCAAAGCTTGTTTCGGAGCCTTTGACCCACCCCTGAAATATTATTTAATACAAAATCATATATACACTCTTTTTTTGTTTCTTCATGAATTGGAAATGACTTGAATAAAGGTTTTAACCCTTTACTCGCAGAGTACCCCATGAAAAGAAAAAACCTTAAAATGTTTTGATGCATGCTAATCATGACAAAAAACTGCAATTTGCTAAGAAAATAAAATGACACACTGTTTTCTGTACAAGTCATATTAGGGATGAAAAAAATCCAACATGATCTCAGACGGAGAAGTGAAAGTAAATTTGCTCACTCACTTGAATTACAAGTCTGTAACTTGACAACACTAAGATTATAATCATGAAACCGGGTTTTTTTCTTTCTTTCACACCCATTAGTTGACTATTCATATAAGATTAGATTGGTAGTTGATACGCTTGTATCAATACGCAAACAATGTTCATGCACATGGACATCAATGGAGTGTTAGACTATTTCATGAGGGAATAGATAGACAACCAAAGTTTTAGGAATGTGTTATTCATACATTTATTTTTACTTTCCATACATTCTTGTTAATTTTAGTCATTCATCTTTTTAGTCTATTCGATCCGACGATCGAAAACTGAGAAAAATATATAAGAAGTAAAAATAAGTATACAAATAGCACTATTCAAGTTTTAAATAGTCAAACAAGTTGCAGTAGAAGCAGCTACTGAATTGGCATGCAACAAGTCAACCATCTACCAATCGCAGAAGACTGGTAGTTTGATCTTTTAAGTGGAGGGTCGGATTATCAGATATATAAATATTTCGATATTCAGGTCAAACCACAACGGTCCTGAACAGTTAGGAGACAGCAACTAAGGTCAACTGTAAAGTGCGCTAGGTTAAATTTGTTATTTTTCCACCTTAAGTAGACAAACACGCAAGTAATATAAGCTTTGGGCTAATGTTTAAAGGCCCATTTAGAATTCAATATAAGTTAAAATCAGGCCACATACCCAATACCAAGGTAGGTTTCTTTACTAGTTTGGACTGTGTTACCTACCACTTTGCTCGAGTTTCAGTTCTACCTGGTTAATTTATTGACATTATTTTTTTTTTCGGTCAAACAACTAATTTCATTAAAAATAAAACATATTGATAAAAAGCGGGACAAATTCAAATGCAATGCACAACACTAAAGTAAAATTGCAGCCAGTTATAAAAGTAAAATAAGAAAACAAGCTTCAAAAATGAGCACATAACAATGCCTATGCCGAAACCCTAGATCTGGAAACAAGAACCAGCCTCCTCCACCAAATTAGTGTCACCACCATCGTCAAGCCGCCACCAAAAAGAAGAACCTACAGGCATAAAGGATGAACGGAAAATGGGGTTGGGCAAGCCACTCGCACTTAAACCACTCCCATAATAATCCTACCAAATAGAGCAAAATGCACTTTAGTAGCCATACTAGTAGGTGGGCAGTGGCTCGCAACTAGGAACAACAATTTGGAAATAAAAATGCATGAAACTTGGATCAACGACAAGATTTGCCAACAATTGAGACAAAGCTAAAGAAAAATAAGACAAATTACCTCAAGGAAAATGAGACAATCTCGGAACAAAACTACCCGAAATCAAGGGCCAAATGAAAAGAAAAGGAAGAAGATAGAGTTAAGGAAGAAGAAGAAGGTTATTAGGGAAGAAGAGTTAAGGAAGAAGAAGAAGGTTATTAGGGAAGAAGGAGATGGGGTTGCCACCGATCCCACCCAAGAGGAAGGGCTCGGCGGCTGAAGCCGAGATGGGAGTTTGGAGGTTCTTGACTCTGGGAGAGGGGGAGCCGCGCTTTTTTTCTAGGCTGGGAGAGCTTTCTTCAAACATTATTATAGTTACTGAAAAGGTATCTAGTTTGTAGTAGAAATTAAACGCTTGCATGTGCCTCTAACAAAGTGATCAAATAGCCAAGATTGTGTTTGGGTGAGGGACTTTAATCCTAAGGAATTTAGATTTTTGTTTTTCGCAAACGATATTATCTACACTAAGGGAAAATGGGTGAGTTTAGTCTTCTAATGAGGTAGCAATAATGTGATTCAAACTCGCTTTTGGCAAGAATCAAACCAAAGACCTCTCACTTACAAGTGAAGAAAAATATCACTAGACTGTAATACTAAGTGACAGGAATTTAGGTTAAAAAAGGAAGAAACACACTAAAACATAGAATTAAAAATGTACTACATAATCATTTATAGAGACATATGTGTTCATAGTTCTCTTGTACTGCATTTGTAATACCCTTTGGCTAAATTTGGATAAGGTAGTTCCAAGTCATGGGATTAAAAGCCAAATTATAAAGAAAATGATAACAAAATGTTGGATATAATGCATTATATATAGAGCGATACAAATACATGTAAGAGAGATTGCAAATGACACATCCCCGCAAGGGATTAGCTAATCTCTCCTATCATTTGTAACCTTTTTCTTCATAATTTGGCTTTTAATCCTATAACTTGGAAATCCCTCGTCCAAATATAGCATTTATGTAACATTTTATAGTTTCATCTTTTTTTACTAATTTGGCCTCGATGCCCTGAGACTTCTAAGTCCCTCATCTAAACACAACCCAACTAATTTTATAGCTCATAGTTTAAGACATGAAGTTTGTGAGTCAACATATTTAGAGGAGGTGCTCGTGAAAACATTTAGGCCTTTTATCAACAAAAAGAAAACTTTGAATATGAATTTGTTGTAATATTTATTGTACATCGGTCTATAAACAATATATGTTTCAAGAGGCGAAGATGTAAATCAAGACATTTAGGGTCTCGCAAAAGCAAGGCGTAAGCCTTGAGGTGTTGAGGAGTAAGCTTGTCGTGCCTTGTCCTGTTATGGTAAAATATACGATATGTCATAGAGGGAGAGAAGGTACAATAAGCCAACAGCCTGGTGTTGTGAGCCATCTTCCATCTTAGATAATTAGAACGAACGTGTTGATGTTATCCTACGGTCAGCATATGATTATCATGCATATATGCATCAAGGGCGTATACTCTATTGATTTCATTTTATTCTTCATGCATGGTTCTGCAGGAAGCTCACACGACGATATCGCATCAGAAATGTTGGGAAACTGATTGAAATTGCTCAACGAAATCTTGTTCCACAGATGATCAAGTGTACACACTCAATAATTATTTTTATCAGTTGAAACCAGATGATGTTATTTCATGCTCTGCCATTCTGAGAAAGTGACTTTCATCCTTGACACGTATGTATGCATATTGCATGATGGCTTAATTAAATAGCTTCTTGATTCATTGGTGCTTACGTGGAATTAACATAAGTACTACCTACTGTTTCTATCTAAACAGAAACAGTGGTTTAATTAACCCCAGATTTTTCGTAGTATAAGTGTATAACTAGATTGAGTTTAAAATTATATATAAGGTTAGAACTTCATTCCCTTAATGGAATTAATGTCTTCTAAGGTATTATGTATAGGTTTAAGTACTTCTGATCAAATTAAACAGTTATATATTCACATTATATATACAGAAAGCAAGAATACGTGCTCACTACTAAAGTTTGCACCAAAACATATTTCTAACTAATACCATGCATTGATCTTTCATATATAAGAACTTAATTATCTTTCTTTCTCTTTCTCTAGTTCCTTTCAACGTTAATTTACATCAGTAGTTGTGTCTATAACCTTGATGTTGTTGCCATATCCTCTTTCTGTTTATGTTTTGGAGCTATCGTATATATATGTAGGGAGATAATAAACACTACTATATATGTTTCGTGTTTTTGTCATTGTCTCAAATGTTTTTGATGATTTAGTAAGGAAACACGGTATAAAAAAAGACCCGTTTTTTAAATTTAATTATATGAGAATCAAGAACAAGAAAATTCAAAGTTAGAAATATTTAAAAAAAATGACTTAAAAAAATGAATACATTCTGAATGTGATATTTTAATTTCTATAATGATTATAGCCTTATTTCATGCACGCAATATCATTGTGTTGTAACGTATTTTGGAATCATATATATCATATCGACCATTATTTACTTATTTTGCATACTTACCCTCAATGATCAATTTGTTTAAAGTGTGGTTGTAGAACTAGTCTTTTATCACTCAGATGCATTATATGCTAGATGTAATAAGATTTAGAAAGATGTCAAATATTTACCACGTTTATGCACTAAATGAATACAGATATACTAAACGGATTAGTACAAGATTTATTTGGGATTTAAGCAAAGAAGATTTATATGTTCATGTCATCTATATATGTGTATCTGATTGTCATATACACTTCATGATCCACGGATCCTAGCTAGCTAGTAGATTTTGAATATGAAGCATATTAGTCTGGATATATCTGACTGACACTATATATGAGATATACAAACATCAAAGAATACATTAAGTGCCAATATTAATCATAAATGTAAAGTAAAAGCTTCACCATGTTAAGAACTTCTGGGATAATTTGCACCTTCTTCTGCGTTGAATTCACATATCGATCCCCCTCCATGAACTTGAATTTGCATGCGTTGAAGATCACACTTTAGAAAGAATGAACGGATATATAATCTCCTTCCATGAAGATCAACTTTAATTGAGCATCTGACATTATATTTTTGTATACAAAGTGTTTACATTATAATTTCGATGCTCTTCGGTGCATTGTCATCAGGGTTACAAACCCTATACATACATACATACATACATACATACATACATATATATATATATATATGTGTGTGTATGTATATGTATGTATGTATGTATGCAAAATGAGAAATGTGGCAGAGATATAAAACATGAAATTGATTCACACATAAATTACTCTCTATATATTTATAAATATAGATTAATTAACATTGATCAAATGTTTGTTTTACAATACCGGTAACATATATATAGATAACATTACAAACATGATCGCCATACAGTGATATACGCCCCCATTCGTAGTGCCAAAATGATCGATGCTGAAGTAGTCGAATAATTAAGAATAGAGACACCGCTTACCCACAAAATCACATTTCATATGATATTTCAAACCCTACCTAGGACTAATTTCCACATATAAATTAACTAATTAAGCAACTGCATTGCTTGTTTCAACATGCGCAGTGTGATTGATCAATCAAACAGGTGGCTAGCTACTGCTCCGTTTGATCAGTAACCCTCTGGTGATCATTTTGGATGAAAGCAGAAGACATGAGCACAGCAGAGTCCCAGCTAAATGTTGACGGCGTCATAGTACTAGCACTAGTCATAGAAATCAAAGGAACGTGGTCGGAACCAGCACCAGCTGCGTGTGTACTAACATTCCCATTGTGCAGTACCTGTTGTTGCAATTGGTGTTGTACAGCAAATGGATCCTCGTTGATCAACGAATTCAGAAACGAAGAGAAGACGTCGTCCGCACAACAGTTGATGTCCTCGTCCTCTTCATTTCCTCCTCCCCCAGGTAGTACTCCAGCGTGGCTGTTGTTGTTGGTCCTTAAACTCAAAGTGCCCATTGCTGCGGCCGAAGAAGAAGCATCGGGATTGTTAATGGACGTGATCAAGTTTGCACAGCTATGGACTATAGTACCCAGATCATGATCAATTGCGATGTTTCCATCATTACCGTTGATACTGGGATCCGCTCCTTGATGGACAAGACGATCAGAAGGAGGAGGACTAGGATTAGGGTTTGAGAACCGGGTATTGGCCTTGAAAGAAGCAGCAGCAGCAACTAATTTATTTGTGTTGTCCACATCAGCATCGGCAGCAGCAGAGTGATGATCTGGATTGAGAGGCTTGTGGGTTCTGGGATCTATGCCTTGGCTTATCAGCTTCTTGCTCAGGTGTGTGTTCCAGTAGTTCTTTATCTCATTGTCCGTACGACCTGGAATCCTCCCAGCTATCAAAGACCACCTACAGACAAATAATACACACATCCAAAATAGTAATTAAACCATAACCCTAATTCAAAATAATATATATGAACAGTGAAACCCTAACCCTAAAAATTTAATGAAATGATGATAAATTTGTAGAGTGGACATATGGATAAGATAATGTTGTCGAGGAAAATTGATAATGCGTATATAAATGTATGTATGTATGTATGTAGCTTTACCGATTGCCGAGGAGGCGATGGAGGCGGAGAATGAGATCTTCTTCATCGGGGGCGATCTGGCCGCGCTTAACGGAAGGGCGGAGGTAGTTCATCCAGCGGAGGCGACAGCTTTTTCCGCAGCGGAGCAACCCAGCCTGCTTAGGGAGGGTCCGCCACCGTCCTTCACCTTCTTTCTTGATGTAATTGGCCAGCAGCTCGTCCTCTTCGGGAGTCCACGGCCCCCTCTTCAAACCCACCTTTACGCAACACGGCGTCTTACTCCCTCCGGCAATCCCCGCCTTACTCGACGACGGCGATGCTGTTGTCATCGTAGCACTTGCTGCTGCTGTTGCTTTCGACGACGACGGGGGGTTCCTCATTGTAAAGCTTTTTCAGTGTTGTTTTTCTTCTTCTTCTGAGTAGGAGTGGATCGAATGCGAAGACAAATGGAGATTTTGATATCTTGACAACCTGATCTTGTTTTTCTTTCTTTTTTTGTTTGTGTTTAAGTAGATATAGTTTTGTACCTTCACCTAGTTTGGTATTGAGGAGGATGGGAGATGAGATCGAGAGATAAAAGATGGGGAGCCGAGACACAGCTATAATAATATTGTGATAGGCAGCTGAATATACTCCCACGCGCCTATCTATTGCTTTAACACCACTTGCTTTACCAGAGCTATATTTTCTCTACTGGAATTTAGGGGCAGCTGGTTAATTCCATCTTACTCGTGTCAATGTGATAATTTCTTATTAAATGACATTACGAATCCGACTAAGTGATGCCTTATAAAAAAAATTGCATCAATTTAGTGCACTCACAATGTTTTTCCTTACTTAAAATTTCAGTATGGAGTTCTCCCATTGTGGCTATGTACATCTATATTAATTAGATACACTTGATGTATATCTCTTAGTTATTAGTAGCTTTTAAGCATTTATATGATGATTTTTATTGATTTATTTTATAATACTGTATTTTTTTTTTAATTTATTATTATTAAGAGGAGTGGAAGGGTTTGAAAATATTATAATAATTTTTTTTTTAAATAAAGTTTCAAACCCAAGACGCTTTGAAGCACTATATCCACTAAAATATTAGACGGTGTGTATATAATTCTATATTTTTTAACCTCCAATATAAATCGAGTGCATGAATTAGGGCTGGTTTGGTATTGCTGTACTTTGAAAAAAAGTTGATTCTGCTGTGCTGTGAGAATGAGCATCTGTGAAATAAAGCAGTAGAGTGTTTGGTAAACTTTTTTGTAAAAATGCCTTTTGAAAAAAAAAAGCAGTATTATAGTGTTTGGTAAACTTTTATGTAAAACAGATGTGAAAAAAAGTCGATTTTTCAAAGCTAGGTTTTGCAGCTTCTTGTTTTTGGCTTTTTTTAACCCAAAACTGTGAAAAAAAAGCTAAAGCTGAATGTTTACCAAACACAAAAACAGCTCCCAGCTTTTTTCAAAATCACCTCAATACCAAACCAGGCCTTAATCATCTTAACTACTCAGAGTTAGAAACCTACAACCTCTACTCTGTTTTAACTTTATTTTTTCATGTTCCTTTCAATTACGCTTTGCGTATGGGAGAGTACCAGTCTAACCTTTACCCGAATGCGCGTGGGACTGGCGGAGTTTGAATCATAAAGTGCAGCAGAAATGACAGCACAGGATGGCCGCAGACGGGACCCGCAGAGCACTGAGCCTTTATTTTCTTTTCTTTTCTATATTATTTTTCAGACAACCTTACAAATACAACTACAACCAGCGGCAGCCACTCCCCAGTCTCCGCTTTATTCAACGAGTTGACCGAAAGACGAGTCTTCATGAAACGAAAATATTATTTTTTTATGGTCCAAAGATCGTTCGAATCGTGAAAACAACTTCAATGCAAATAAAACTGCATACAATGGGCATTTATGATAAAATTATGCACTGGGTGCCCACCGGATCCCAACCCCCAGTCATGAGACATTGAGACTTCCGACTGCCTACTCCCCGGCAAAACTTTGAGAAATGATGAGTCTGAGGTCGTTTATCGCTTTACCTTCATTGATGAAATTTAAAGCTGATGGGTGATGGGTCACATTTATAGCACAAAAGACGATCTCAAAACAAAGATAATCCGTGAGCCGTGATTGTTAGAACCCTACTCGATGACATGGGTTGTCAACAATGCAACGCCCGTAGGTCCTCTTGATTTTAGATTCAACAACCGGTCGAGTTTCCATATATTCTGACAATCACGACCCAAGTGTTATCCCAAAAAACAAAAACCCATTTACTCATTTACAGACGCTGCTGTGTAAATTCATGTTGGCAAGGTTTCTACTCTTAGATGCTTGTATTTCTGCTCTGAATTGAAGCGTCTCGCACTTTCTGCGAAGCCTTTAGAAAGCACGACCTTCAATATATTAACTCCCTCTTGCAAAGCAGCATCAATCTAGACCAAACGGGCACATCATCATTATCCCTCCAAGTAATTACTAGACTTACATTAGGATACAAGGAATGATAACATAAACCAAACGAAGATTAGACATCAAATTGTTAAGCAGAAAATGAGTCCAATTACATAAAATGCAGGATTCAATAATACTTCGCCAAATTTAAAACGAATGCAATCCATATGGAATGAACGGATCTTACAACGATCAGATTTCATATAGTTTTCTAAACAGCTAGGTCTACCTCTTTAATTAACGTCTTATCCACAGTTGAATCAGTAAATAACAAGCAAACAAATGGTAGTATCATCCTTCAAAATATACTTTTTATAAATTCTAAGAATATGGATGTGTTAAGAAATGTTCTTTGAGGTAAATACACAACCAAAATATACTTACTCGTCCTTGAGCTGTGGCATTAAATTTTTGCAGCAAGAATGCTTTCGGATCCATTTGACCAGGAGGCCTTCCGATACCTTACAAGAAATTCAACAAACTTTCTAGCACTTGGAAGTGATAATAACAGTAACATAACTATGAAATTTGGACATTCAAACTCACCGATTCTTAGTCGAGGAAATTCTCTGTTCCCTCGAAAGTGATAGATCACACTCTTCAACCTGAATAACAAAAAAAAAAAAAAAATCAGTGATAAGTACCAGATTCCACATATTTTCCCTAAGTTTGAGAGTGGGAGATGGCAAAATTGAAAGGCCTTTCAAGAGATAGAGGAAAATTAATACATTTTCAGTAAATATATGAGTGCTTAATGGTTGATGATCCGAAAAAGGCAAGCTTGACCAGAAGAATTCTGGTAAAACCACATAATAATGGTCTTTACTCTTCTGGTAGTAGTGATGGTCTACTAATACCAAAAAGCCTAATATGCAGCTATATAATTAGCTCACCAATTATTGTGAACTCAGCAATTCAGGCTATGTAACTATAACCATGGTAAACATAAATGTCCAGGTGGGTTCTAACATTTAGGCAAGACATTTTTCATCATTGCTTAATCATATAGAAGCATATATGCTTAAAACCTGAAAGTAATAAATTTGATCATACCCATTGTGGCATAAGTGACCTCCATTTGGGTGAAGACGAAGTACTCCACATGGTAAGGTCATGTCATCATGAAACTGCAGCCAAGAATAAAAGGAAAACTATAAAGATACGTACAGATGCTATAAGTACAAAAAAGCTTAAAATTAGAAGAAGAAAGTACCACTAGCACACGATTGAGAGGTAGCTTATAATAAGCAGCAAGAGGCCCCGTCTGTTTAACAAAGAGAAACGCGAGGTTAAACCATTCACTGATATCTCTTTTACTAACATTAGTTACATAAGCAGTAGGATTAATAGCTCAAAGTCTCTAACATACAAAAGTGAAGCAGGTAAAATCACGAAGGAATTGCAAATGGGTTTGGAAGTGTGCTAGAAGGAATGAAATGCACAGAACAAATATCATTTCGGTAGGCTAGATCAATGAATAACCTTTTTGCAAAGAGAAGTACAATATCATAATTCCATCAGATTGTGAAAAGGAAGTATATCGGCCACTTACAGATTCACCACTCAAATTCATGTAAGTTTGAGGCTTTGCAAGAAAAACCGGAACTCCACCCACGAAACCTACAATACCAAACTTCCATGAACTTCACAAACAAACATAAAAAATGACAACAAACAAAGTAACATATGCAAAGATTCACATGCCTTGCCCAAAGATGGCTTTGCAATGGACCGTGTTCATTGCAATGCCTTGTGAATTGGCGAAAGCATCAATCATCTCAAACCCCGTCTGCTT